TAAACATACAAGGGGTGAAAACCCAGTAATAGGATTGTGGTAATTACCTCAGTGCGCTTAGTTCCATGCTATCAAGGTATGCTGTCAAGATGCCTTCTTTTAAAGGGGTTTATAAGCCTGATTTATTTGGCTCCAGTACTTACTTTCTTGGACAAACCTCAAGTACAGATCTCTGTTCAGTTTTACCCATGATGTGCCAAAAATATCAGTCTGCGTTTTGTCTTGAGTTTTCCTTAGAACGTTGACAAATCATTTGACAACTTTCAGAGGGTTTTTTAAAGAAAGGAAAGCTGGAACTAATATTTTTCAATTCCATGTCTTCAAACAAAACAAAACACCTCTCCAATTTTGACAAACTGAAATGAGGAACATTCATTTGCTAACTTCCAAAGGATTCTAAATAACCCCCAATACGATTCTTTTGGAAGTATATCCTATACCTTAATTCTGTTGTTTCCTCTTCCTAGTTGTCTTTTCTCATCATACACAAGAGGCAAAGCAAAAGTAAGGATAAATTCAGTTCTGGTAAGTATGTCATTGCACTATTCTGCTTAGGATTCTCTGAAAATATCTCTTCCTTCAATCCCTTTGAAAAGTGACATGATTAACATTCATAGTCTGCAAACTAAAAAAAAAGTACAAGCCGGGGATGAAACTTAGAGCAGCAAGTGCTGTAAAAACAGGTGGAAAATATATGAGGTGATGACTGGGGTTTATGACAAGACCAGAGTGTGATGGAGGCTCCTTCTTTGGAAGCTTTTAAGCAGAGGCTGGATGGCCATTTGTCAGGGGTGATTTGAATGCAATATTCCTGATTCTTGGCAGGGGGTTGGACTGGATGGCCCATGAGGTCTCTTCCAACTCTTTGATTCTATGATTCTATGACTCAAAGGCAAATCTAGAGCAGTGACACAAAAATAGAAAAAATGGATGGTAGGTATGTAACTCGTCGAGACTTCTCCATCAGATGGATGGAGAAACTTTGAACACAGTAAGTTGTAGAGTCTAATAGGAGATAATTAATTCTTTAATTAAAATAGGAAAAGTAAATCCTTCGAAGATATGGGCAGCCTCTAAGCCAATGTACTCAGATACACTCAAGCCTTGAGCATATTTCTCAGAGAGCACAGCACCTCTTATGGCTCACAGTTTAGAAATTATAGTGCATCCCAAGAGCCCCATTGAAACCTGAAACTAGATACAAGTGAATCTAATATTTTGACTATCCTTGGGCAGGAAGTGTACCATAGAATTCCACTGGAGGATCTAGGGAGGCCCACAAATACATTTTGAATTGGGGTATTGTCTTTGAAGTGTGGGTCAGTGAAACCATTGATATTGATCTACTTTGGCTCTCGTTTAAGAGGAGAGCAGAGTAAATGAGGAGGAGGAGGTCATCCACAGATGTGGGGGCCACTCTGTATTTCAATGTTTTCATCCTGCATTGCTTTACTTAGCAGAAGCTCTACTATTTATCTGGGTTCCTCACTATATTATCCACAAAAGTGGAGAAATCTTGAACCAAGAACATCAGAATTTGGCAATCCATATAAATCATGCTTGTGTATGATATATAAGTTACTTTATTTCAAATCATTATAGAAAGAAGGGAAAATGTATTCAAAGCCCCCAAGCTTTCTCTCCTGGATATCTTGCATTTTGTGAAGAAGAAAAGCCTTAAAAACTAGAAACTTACTTCATAAAACTTCTCATGAGATAGCAGCACAAAAGGCTGCAGTGTCCAAGAGATCTCATAATAGTGGAAAGATCTCCTGGAATTTACCTGAAGCTGCCAAGTAGGCCTGGGCTTGAAACAGTCAAGAGCATATAGACTCTTTACCATTCTTGTAAAGTGAAAGTTGTGTTTTCTCAATCAAGTCCATAGCACAAAGCACATTCCTTCCCTTGGTAAATTTCCAAAATTAGTAAAAGGATATTATCATTTCTACATAACAGCTTTCCAATTTTCCGTGAAAACTTTCTACCTATTTTAAAAAAACAAAATGAGTGTGCCAGACATAATTGCATGTATGCATTAATAAATGCTATTATTACTGTTACTGTGTTGTCGAAGGCTCTCACAGCTGGGATCACTGGAGTGTTGTGTGGTTTTCAGGACATACAGCCAGAAACCACACAGCACTCCATTATTGTTATTGTTATTATTGTTGTTGTTAAATACATAAATAAATGCATTAAGTGCATTCTTGCATTTACATTTGTTGATTAGAACCTGCTTAAGTGGTCCATGAAATCTTATAGTACAATAAATCTGTTTGCCTTTTTAAGATGCCACAAAACTATTCCAGTAAAAGCAACACAGAGACAACACATGTCTGGTGTACGTGTTCACACAGGCATGCAATATACACTGCCCCTCTACGGTTTTCTTTTTCAAGACACGGGAGATGATATAAAAAACAGCATTTGGTTGTACATTCTAAGTATATTGTGTAATACAATCTTTAATTCGTGTCTCTAGTGTATGCCTTGTATTCAAACATTTGAAGAACAGGTGTACAGTTTTAGTAACAAATGAGAAAAGCAGGTTGCTGCTATGGTGACTATTTGGCACATGGAAATACTATAATGCAGATATTTTGGTCTGTTTTTGTATTTATTGGCAGCAATATGACACCTACAAGTTATTCTGCTAGATATAAAAAGAGAGAAGAGTAATAACTTCTTAAGATGGAATATGGCAAACCTGCTCAAAACCTTATTTTATTATGATTATGATGTCTTCTCTGTTGTAGTGGTGTGTCCTTCTTAGTCTAAGGAACACGGGAGGCTGTCTTACACTGATTTGGACTCTCTATCTCTTTGCAGACATTTCTGGGGTTCAGGCAGTCTTTCAGGCAGTGCTCCAACACTGAATTATGGTTGCTCCCCAAATCTTTCAAGAAGAAAGGAGTGAGATCATAATGCATAATTCCATGGCCCTCAAAAGACAAGCCTTCTGGGGAGTAAGAACTGTACACTGGTACTGTGTCCATATTTTGTTTCAACTTACTGAATGAAAATAGTGTTGGCATTGCTTACTGAGATATTCTTCCCAGTTCTGTATCATAATGGCTAATTGTGTTATATTCTTCTTGACTACAACCAGAGAAAGATAAGAGAACCTCACTTTTGGAGACCCATTGTTGTTTGGCTTCAGCTTTCTCATAACTGTTTCCACAACCAGCCTTTCTATAAATGAGAGTTGAGAGTTGAGACGGAGAGACTGACTTCCACTGCCTTACTGGGACCACTATCATTTTGTTTCTTCCTTTCCATAATCATCTTACCCAGTGATTTTTCTAACTAGTATCGGTTTTGAACCCAAATTATGAATTTTGATATGACCCATAGATAAGTCTGGGATCATTCTGTAGAGAGGAGAAGTGCCAAGGAACACTTTGCCACTGTCATTTTCTTACAAAGGCATTCAAAAAGATCGGAAGCATTGTGATGGCAGACCAGTGAGGGCTTAGGGCTTTTAAAAAATTGTCCTGGAATAGACTAAGCTCTTGAATTTCTCCATTTGACTTAGATATGGTTTCTTTATTGATAAGAGTTAAGAAATAGTGCTTAAATTGACCTATAAATAAGTTAACCCAGGCTTTTAAGCTAATTTTTGATTAAAATTTCTAGACTTTTACATAACTATATAAAGAGCTTACAGAATTCACTACTATGAGATGTTGTGATAACCACTAACAGATAATTTTTAAAAATAGATCAGACTAATTTTAAAAATAGGTTTATCGCAGACACTGGAATGCAATTCCTTATGTTATCAGGCATCATTATAATAATTTTGCCATTTTACCTTCCCATCTCATCACATTCCCCTCATATTATAGATCTCTGTGGGAAATTAATTTGCTTGATAAACCACTAGACTGTACATAATAAAATAATTTAACTTGTATAAAAATTAATTCGCTATTAATAAAAGAACATAACAACCACCACCACCACAACAACATCAAATTTTATTTGTCATTTTCTGGGTTACAGTTGCTAGTCGAGTCGAAATGTCCCCCAGAGGACCTGAGTGTATGGAAGACAGCAATCCTACAGGCAACTTGGACCCAAATTACACAGGGCTTTAAAGGTAATAACTAACACTTTGTATTTTGCCTGAAAACTATTTGGCAACCACTTGAGTGATTTTACTATAGGTGTGATATGCTCATTCCTAGTTGTACCCAGAATCAACCTGGTTGCTATATTTTGCTATATTTTGAACTAACTGGAGTTTCCAAACTTGGTACAGAGGTAACCCAAAGTAGTGCTGGTTAAGCATAATCTTGAGTACTGTGTTTAGTTCTGGATACCTCATTTTAAGGATGTGGGTAAGTTGGAATAGTTTCAGAGAGAGAGGCAAGAACGATGACAAGACATGAAGAACCAAACATATGAGGAAAGGTTTACAAAGTTGGGCATGTTCAGTTTGGTGAAGGCAGGATTAAGGGTTGACATGACTGCACTCTTTGAATATCTCAATGGCTGTCATGGAGAAGAGGAGGCAGACATGTTCTCAGAAAATAGGCTTAGCTCTAATGGTCTGAAGGTGTAGGAGAATAGATTTTGAAGGAATTTCTGAACACTGAGAGCACTTTGGCAATAAAATCAATTGCCCAGAGATGTGATGGGGTTCCCTTCAAAAGCAGGCTGGATAGCTACATGTTGGAGGTGCTTTAGCTGGAGATCCTGAACTGAGAAGGGGGTTAGTCTCAATGGTTCACAACACCCATTCCAACTCTCTGTTTCTATGACTATAGTCTATGGCTCTAAGCAGAAGCTGTTCAGAACAAATACAAATCCCCAAAGTAAAAGAAAAATGGCTCTGTACACAACATTTGAAATATTCAAGCAGTGACATACATTAATGTTAAATGAAATAGCTATTTGAAACAAATGAAATCTTATGGCTTTGAAGACATTATAGCAACTAATGCTGTAAAGGTAGTCGAAGTCTTAAATGCGGCAATATGTATAACAGTACTTACCTTTCCCCCTTCATCAAATTTGCCCACATGACAAACCCATTCTCGGGAACAAAACCACGTTGGCATAATTACAGTTGGTCCGTGAGATGTGAAAATCTGGAGAATTCATAACAAAAGAAAAACATTATTTACTATGGGTGTACAAGGCGACCTCATGGATAAGTCGGGGACAGGTTTTGAGGCCAAAATTAGGTGTTTCATATGACCCGTGGATAGTTGAGGGATAGTTGAGGGTCATTCTGCAGAGAGGGGGAAACTGCAATGCTGGCTCAGAAAGCCCATTGCCCTCAGCCACTGCTGCTCTTTCTCCACCAAGGAATTCAAAAAGACCAGAAGCAGTGCCACAATAAAGAGAGTTAGAGGGATCAGTGCTTCTTTTAGGTTCTCCTGGGACAAAGCTCTCACTTTTTGCCACTTTACTTAGAGAAGGAATAGTTCCTTTTTTATAAGAGTGAAGATGCAGTACAGGGTTTTTTAAGCTGATTTTTGACTAACATTTCTAGATTCATACATGATTATATAAGGTACAATAAAAGCCATAACTCTTAACAAATATCCATTTTATACAAAGACTCAGGCTTACTTTGAAATTTACTATTTCTTTTTTTACATTTCTTTCTTTTACTATTTCTTTCTTTTAGTAATTTTACAAAATTACTATTTCTTTCTTTTACAGTAATAAGGAGACATTGAAGATTATGTTTTTATGGCTTAGTTTAGTTTGTATACTAAATGTTAATGTTTAAATTGTATTTATAATATTTTTAACTTGCACTTTATAGTTGTGGAGGCATCAAATTGTTGCCGATTGTGAACCGCCCTGAGTCGCCTTTGGGCTGAGAAAGACGGTATATAAATGTGGTAAATAAATAAGAATAAATAAATTATTAATCTCTGTAAAGAAATAGCATGCATAATGTCTAACTGTATTTTAACAGTTTTTGAAGGCTGGGAGATTTTAGAAGATCTGCAATTTTCTGTATTTTAAACTCAAAGCAATTGGGGGGGGGGGAGGGGGGGAGGTAAAACCAAGAGTATTGGAAAGGTACTAGGCATGTTAAAACTGTTACAATTTCTCACTCCACTTACTACATCTATGTAGTAATGACTCTAGAGTTTTGTAGGTAGGCAGTTCAGGGTAAAGTGCCACACAGTCCCCAATTGTTATATATAGTATTTTAAACCCCCTCCCACAGCACCATTCTTTTGATCTTATCCAACCCCTTCATGTAGTTCATGTAGTTCATGTAGTTTAATTCTTGCGTATTTACATTGAGTAAATAAAGACACTATAAAGCACTGGCCACTGTATAAATATTCTATACTGAGATTAATTTGCAGTTTTTACACACAGTTTGGTCTCAGTACAACTGATCAACCTCAAACTGGAATGCAGGAGTGGGTCTCAAGCAACATAACTGAAATATGTTTTGCTTTTTGGTTCTCTGGTGCATTGTAAAATCTCCATAAGATCTGAAGACCTGGACTTGAAAATGGAATTACTAGGAACCAAGTGCACCTGGATATTTTACTATTTACACACAACATGCCAAAATTAACAACCAACGGAAAGAACTGCTTTGCAGGCAAACCAAGTGGAAAGTATTTGAGCACATTTGGGGCTCAACAATACAGGTAGAGGGAGAAAGTTTTGACAATGCCCATTTCATTTTTCAGTGCCTATAAAATAAAAAATACATCTGTTTGTAAAATAAACATGGTATTAGGGTGAGGTGGGGGCAAGAGAGACATACAGGCTTTCATACCTGGTAAGGATATGGTAGATAGAAAGTGGTGTCTTGGGAAATCAAATCACTGTAACCCTTAATTTGTATATTTCTGAATGATGACAGCTTCAGTGAGTAATACCAACAAAAGCAGGAAGGCTTATAATCGCCCTTTTCTGATTTAAACAAATATGCCTCACATCTAGTGTTGAAATAAACCAGAATATCCGGATTATATAAGGTAAGCCTATTCTTTCCATTAATACAAGACAAAATGTCTAGCAAGTTTGCAGACTAATCTTGTTGACAATAAGCTAAAGGAGCAAGCCTAGTGCACCCAGACCGAAGTATTATACACCCAGCTACTTGTACAAGCTAGTTAATCAGAGAAGGAAAGATCTAGGAAACAGGAGAACCATTGTGTCTTTTCTCTATCATGAAAATGCATCCAATTCCATGGTAGTTTCTTAAGAGCATAACGCTATTGTTTGTAACAGTCAAATTCTGCATCGAGAATAACTCCCTAAATCTACAAGTTATCATGCTTACATTTCATGTGGTGTGAATTTAACTCAAATATTGCAAGTCTGCAGGGGGCTAGGTGGTCTATGACTGTTAATGAACAACTATCTGTGCTTCAGGCTGCTCTTGAGCATAATCTTACAAACTTCTCTAGTCAGATGTTAGTTCCACTGACTTCGGAGTGGTTTATACCCAAGTGATAGTGACAGGATTTTAGCCTATCCCTATTCCATGCCCTGCACCACTTCATAGAGGAAAACCTCTTCCAAGAGACATCAGATTGTACTCAATGTGGCAAATGTTTTAATAAGGAAGCACAGACAGGTTAGGAGAGGCTGCAGCGATTTTCTTTCTCCTGAGCTTATTGAGAAGGCCAACTTCCAACCTGGGCTCTCTTCTCCCATTGTTGAATTATTGTGCAAACTACTTTTGTACTTTGAACTCAGTCTGCAGTAACTGAACTAATATGAAGGGTGGGGGGAGGGAGTGGGAAAGGGAGATAAACTGGGAGGGGGGGAGTAGGATGGAAGAGGATTAATTAGAATTGTTCCAGCCAAAATGGGATATTTGGGAGAGTATGAATATTGTTTCAAGTTCAATGTAAGAGTAATAAATTTCTTCAAAATTATTTTGGCCGTTTTTCTACGAGTTTATTGTCATGTCCTGCTCAGATAGTGAGGAGGATGAGCTGGTGGAAGTGCCAGCAACTGAGCTTGAAGTGAACAACTCCCACTAGCCACTAACTTTGGAGCCACTGACTTTGGAGTCTTTGCAAATTCCAGTGGTTGAAACAAATGCTAGTAGCTCCCAACAAATTCAAAATGAAATACCTATGTTGATAGACACTAGCAAAGTGATGGGCTTAGGAGGTCACAACATCTTTATGAGAAATCAAGGAGCAAGTGGTGAGTTGAACCAGGACCTATAAATCGTCATGTCCTGCTCAGACAGTGAGGAGGATGAGTAGGTAGAAGTGTTAGTGTCTGAGCTTGAAGTGAACAACTCCCACCAGCCACTGACTTTACAGTCTTTGCAAATTCCAGTGGCTGAAACTGATGCTGGCAGCTCCCAGCAAATTCAAAATGAAATAGCTACATTGATGGACACCAGCAAAGTGAGGGACTTAGGGGGTCACATCGTCTTTACAAGAAAGACTACTTAATGAAGAAGCAAGTGTTGAGTTGAACCAGGAGCTAAAAATCAACCAGTTACATGATGCTTAACTGCTGTGGACAACCAATTTATTTTGACCAATTTCCAAACCTACTCATGTCTTTGTGGATTTGATCTTGGACCTATTATCTTTATTCTTTTGGCTCAACCCCAAATGGACTTCTTGATTTGATTTCCTGGCCTTGGACTTTTTAGACCTCGGCTCAGCTCTAGTGTCTCTTATCTTCTGAGAATTTGTTTTGTTTGATAACAAAGGCCACCCCTATTATTAAAATGGAAAGCATTATTAAAAAGAACAAAAACAAAACACAGCAGAAAAGGGGGAAAGGCAATGTGGCACATACTGGTGATGCTCTATCATTAGGCATCTGAAAAGAGCACCAAATTGCTAGTCATATACTTTGTTTTACTGCTATAGATATGGTCAATTGCTTTGGGGATTTCTGGACTCATTTGCCAAAACACAGCTGGTTTTGGTACTATGCGCCTTCAGTTGGGTGAAGTGACCCATTTGATGTTCATTCACACAGGAAAATATCTTGGTTTTGTTCTAGGTGTTTTGTAAAAGACCAATTAGCTCAAAATATATATGGGAGTTGATCTTATGGGCTGACCTTTTCTCCCCCTATTCCACATAAAACTCATAGTAAAAATAACTATACTAACCAGATAATGACAATGTGGTATGTTAGCACTGTATGAGGCAATAAAAGTCTTAGCTTTCTAAATCCAAAACACTCTGTTCTCCTGGATTTTAAACCTATAAGATATATTTAAACTGTATGACAACCTATCATTGAGGCAAATGATAGGGTAAAATGCTTATTTTGAATTACAACCCTTTAACTTGAACAAAAGATGCAAAATGCATGGCCTGTAAAATACAACAGATTATTGAAAAATGGTGCCATGACTTCTAATTGACTGCAAACTTCATATATATATATATATATATGAACTTCATATATATATATATATATATATATATATATATATATATATATATATATATGCTAAAACGTAAAAAAATATATTTTTATTTAAATCATACCAATAGATAATGGATCAGTTTTGAGATTTAGCCTGAGACCTTTAAAACTTTGGCTCTGTTGAAATCACATCTTGGAAAATGAATGGCAGAATTTTTTTCCTCTTCCCAATATATATTTGAATATCATAGGTGAGATACTTCCCAATACTTCCCAAGTAGAGTTATCCTTGTGTTTCCAGTGTGTAAAAATATCAAGGTAAGTAAAATAAGCTTCCAAAACGGAAACCTCTGAGGTCAAATAAGTTTCCAAAACGGAAACTCCTGAGGTCAAAGTAGTAAAGTCAACAAGAATTGCTGTGATGGAAGAGGCAAAAGCAGTGTGATTTTTAACGAAGTACAGAGTAAGACTTTGAAATGGCAGGAAGCTTCACCAGGGGATGCCTATATATCAGTGTAGGCCATGGTTGGTTGAATTAGTAGAAACTGAACTTTTGGATACTGAGAGTGACTGTAAATGGGTTTTCCTGCAGTGCACACACTGCAACTCATACACATCTGAAACACAAACCAGAGGACATCTACTCGCCAAGTTCTTAAAATAAGTATATGAACCTATGAGAATGTGTTTTTCTCAAGGCCCTTCCATATAGCCATATAACCCAGGATATCAAGGCAGAAGATCC